ATACTCTCTTTCTTTCTTTCTTTCTTTCTTTCTTTCTTTCTTTCTTTCTTTCTTTCTTTCTTTCTTTCTTTCTTTCTTTCTTTCTTTCTTTCTTTCTTTCTTTCTTTCCTTCCTTCCTTCCTTCCTTCCTTCCTTCCTTCCTTCCTTCCTTCCTTCCTTCCTTCCTTCCTTCCTTCTTTCTTTCTTTCTTTCTTTCTTTCTTTCTTTCTTTCTTAATATATTGAGTCTTTACAGAGAGGAAGAGAGGGGGATAGAGAGTTAGAAACATCAATGAGAGAGAAACATCAATCAGTTGCTTCCTGCACACCCCCTACTGGGGATGTGCCTGCAACTAAGGTACATGCCTTTGACCGGAATTGAACTAGGACCCTTCAGTCCAAAGGCCAACAACGCTCTATCCACTGAGCCAAACTGGTTTCGGCTCCATATTCTTCATTTCTTTTTCCTGCCTCCTCCCTTTGGTGTGTCCAGAGGGTGTGTGAGGCTCACCCTGCTCCCTCAGTGCCTGCCCACAGGAGCCCCCGAGGGGCCAGAGGAATGGCCCAAGGAAGCGTAGGAGGTGGGGTGCCCAGCCTGATGCAGCTCCCAGTTAGGGGTGGTTGGAATGCCCTGGGGAGGGTGGGAGATGAGAGGGGGTGGCCCGCCCAGCACCTGGGGCTGAGGGGCAGCCAGGAGCCGGGGCCCATGGGGGAGCCCCACACAGACTGGTCTGTGTGTCACTGCGTCCTCCAGACCTGGGGCTGACTGCAGGTTCTCATCTAGTGTGCTTGGCCTAATTACAGTGGTTTTCAAAGCCAGCTGCGAGGAGAAAATGCAACTTCTATTTCTATCTTATTCCTTTCTCCCCCTTTTTATTGTGAAATATATCACACTTGGTGAAAAGAGCTTTAAAATATACTCTCCTATATAATAAAGAGGTAATATGCAAATTGTCCATTACACCCCTTGCACAAGATGGCTGCCACAAGATGGCCAGCAGGGGAGGGCAGTTGGGTGCAAGATCAGGTTGGCAGGGGAGGGCAGTTGGGGGCAACCAGGCCAGCAGGGGAGGGTAGTTGGGGGTGATTGGGCCAGCAGGGGAGCAGTTAGGTGTCAATCAGGCTGGCAGGGGAGTGATTAGGGGGTGATCAGGATGGCAGGCAGAAGCAGTTAGGAGCAGTCAAGTAGGCAGACAGGCGAGCAGTTGGGGGCCAGCAGTCCTAGATTGTGAGAGGGATGTCCGACTGCTGGTTTAGGCCTGATCAGGAATCCTAAACTGGCAGTCGGACATCCCCTGAGGGGTCTCAGATTGGAGAGGGTGCAGGCTGGGCTGAGGGTCACCCCCTTCCCAGTGCATGAATTTCGTGCACTGGGCCTCTAGTGTATAATAATTATAAAAGTGAACATCCAGGTAAACACCACCAGTTTGTGCCCACCTCGGTCATAACCTTCAACCCCCCAGGAGGTTACCATTATCCCGACCTCCCTCATAATCACTTCCTTGCTTCCCTTTATCACCTAACCACTGAGGTCTGAACCCTTTAGCAGCAGTTCAGTTTTGCCTGGTTTTGAGTTTAAAGCAGCTGGAACAACACTGAACCTGTTCTTTGATGTTGTAGTTTTCAATTCAGCCGTCCCTGTGTGAGGTTCACCCATGTTGTGTGGACCTATGGTGGTTTGTTTTCATGGCTGTCTAGTATTCCACTGGAGGAACTTGCTACCATGCTTATATCCGTCTACTCCTGGTGGGCATCTGGATTTCCTTTGTTGGCTACTATGGGCGATGCTGTCAGAGCACTTCTCTGTGCTTCCCAGTGTATTGGTGCCTGCATGTCCCCTGAGTACAGATAAGCCAGAGTGAAATGCTTAGGGCACACGATATCGTGTGAAGTGACTGCGCACACTGACTGCTCCAGGGTTCCTGGGGCTCTGTATCCATGCCAACAGTTGCTGCTGGCAGACTAGTTAATGTCTGTCATGTTGGCGAGTGTGTAACAGTGCCTTAACTTGGGTGCAAGGTACATTTCCCTCTTCTTCCTTTTAAACGAAATATGGTTTTATTGATTTTTGAGAGGGAGAGAGAGAGAAACATCAATGTGAGCGAGAAACATGGATCGGCTGCTTCCTGCCGGCACCCAACCAGGGTTGGAGCCCACAACCTGGGCATGTGCCCTGATCGGAAATGGAACCAGCGACATCTTGGTGCAGGGGACAACACTCCACCACCTGAGCCACACCGGCCAGGACTCCCTGCTCTCCTTTCTTAAAGAACCATTCTTTGTGTGTGTTTGCTGACATACAGGATATATTCATGCACTGGTAGTTGTAAGCAAGGGATAAGGAAAGAAGCATACAGTATATTGGTGCTGTTTCACCATTTTTACTCAGAGGACCATGGGTCACAATGGTCTAAAGACAGTTATAATATTGAATGCAGGGAGGGAGCTGATTTCTAAGTTAAGGGTGGGAGGGTGGTCTTGGAAGGAGGAGACCCCCAAGCGGCAGTGCCTGCCCGTGGGGCAGCCTCTGCCCTGAGGGTGCTGAGTCTGCTGGGCACCAGCAGCACGCCAGGCCCTCCCGCCGGCACAGCTGGCAGGGGGGAGGAGGCTCTGTCCCGGCGGCTGTCCTGCAGTGTCCACTTGGCAGGTGCTTGTCTTCGGGGCCTTCCAGGGCAGCAGTCCTCCGCTGAGGGAGACTTTGCCTCCCAGGGGACATTTAACGATGACTGTTGACAGTTTTGGTTGTCATGACTCAAGAGAAAGCTACTGGCATGTAGTGAGAGGCCAGGGATGCTGCTCGATGCCCTAGAATGCTCGGGACAACCCCCCAACAAAGAATTATCCGGCCCGGCCGAGGTGGCTCAGCGGTTGGGTATTGACCTATGAACCAGGAGGTCACGGTTTCATTCCCAGTCAGGGCACATGCCCTGGCTGCTGGCCTGATCCCCAGTGTGGGGCGTGTAGGAGGCAGCAGATTAATGATTCTCTCTCATCACTGATGTTTCTCTCTCTCTCCCTCTCTGAAATCAATAAAAAATATATTAAAAAGAAGAAGAAAAAGAAGCATTATCTGGTCCTAAGTGTCAGTTGTGTGGAGGTTGGGAAACTCTGGTCTGGGAACAGAGCCAGGAAACAGATTTGTCATGAGCCCGCTGCTCGGCCTCAGGGAAGTCACTAATGCTCCGAGCCTCCGTCTCCCCATCTGGGAGTAAGAGTGGCGAGGGTTGTTGCTCTCTGCCCTTTGGGGGGCTGCTGGCAGGGTCGAGGAGAGGGTGGCTGAGCTGGCATTGGGGGAGCATCCCTGCGGAGGGGCCTGCAGCCTTTGTGTCCAGGGGGAGGGCTCTCCAGCTTGGCCCGCCCGCGCCCGTGACTGCTTCGTGTCTGCTGGGCTGGAGGCGTCAGGTGACCGCAGGCAGCCTCCGTCCTGGCTCCTGCCTCCCGGCCTCAGAGGGCTGCCGAGGAGCTGCCCTGAGGCCCCAGGCTTTTGATGAGGGCTGCAGAAATAAGGGGCTCTCCGGGGAGCCCTGGGGCCCAGGCAGAACCATTCCTGACTTTGTCCTGGGCTGGGTGGGAGTCCAAGGCCGAGTGGATGATAAAGATAAAAGGTGCTTATCCTCCTCCTTATCTGGGGCCCCGCTGGGGCCCCGCTGCCAGTCCGTGAGGGGTGGGAGCGCACGCTGGGCGGGCTCCTCCTCACCCTTCTGTGCCTTTCAGGAATTTGCCATCCCAGGGCCGGGTCCAGGGTGGAGTCAAAGTTTGGGTCTCTCTGCCTCCCCTCCTGGGGTTCACCTCATCTCAGTGGCCTCTCCTGCCTTCTCCGGGGCCGGGGCCTGCCCAGTCTCCCCGCTGCTACGCCATCCCTTCCTGAAACATCCTCTCACAAAGGGCCGAGAAACCCGGCCAGACTGAGGGGCAGATGGCAGATAACAGCTCCCTGACTGGCAGCCCTGACCAGGGATCTGACCAGGGATCGAACCGTGACCCTTTGGTGCACAGGACAGTGCTCCAACCAGCGGAGCCGCCCTGGCCAGGGGTGTCTCCCCATCTTGGTCCAGGGGCAGTGTGGCCTGGGGCCTGGGAGTCCTGTGTGGGCCTCAGGCTGGGAGGAGGCCGGGACACTGCCTGTGCCTGGACACCTGGGCGGGTGAGATTGGAGCGGGGAGTCTCTGCGCATTGGGTAGACTTGTGGGTGAGGGAGGCCTTCCGGAGGGCGCTGTGAGTAATCCTTGGCCACATTTGCAGCTCCCAGGGGATTGTGCAACTTCCTCTGAGACTGAGGTGCAGGGGGCTGGGTGAGAAACAGCGCTGGGGGAAGTGAGGAGACGGGGCTGGCACCGGAGCAGGGCCGGGGCCCTGGGCTCGGGCCCCCTGAGGAGCTGAGCGGTCCAGGGGGCTCCTTCCAGGGGCTACCCTCTCCCAGGTAGGGGGCGTGGGTGTCTGTGTGTTGTGTCTCGGGGAGGTGGGTGCGTGGGGGTGAGGCCCACAGGCTGTGCTGCTGTGGGGGGATCCAGGACCGATGAAGCAGGTGGCCCATGGCAGGGCCCCCTGCCCGGGTTCTGGGGAGAGCAGGCAGGGCTCCCCTGAGCCTGGGATGGTGGGAACCAAGTGAAATCCGGAGCCAGAGCTGCTGGCGGCCAGCCCCTCCTCTGAGCAGCTGGGCAACCCGGGCGGATCGGTGTTGTGGTCTGCGAGGCTAGGAGGGCTGGGAAAGGGCTTGAGGACCCCCGCTGTCTGGCTGGAGAGCAGTTAGAGCTCTCCCTGCTCCTCTCCTCTCCCCCAGGCTTGTTTTGGGTCGCCGAGGAGGAAGTGGGCATGGTATGCTCAGTGCGATGCTGGCCGGGCCACAGGAAATACCCGCTCACACCAGGTTGGGAGTAGGGGCTGGGAGCACCTGGCCTGGGCGGGCAGTGCCAGCCTGCCTGGGTTCCAGCCCTGGCCCCGCCACTTAGCAGACACACGATCCTGGAAAGTTACTTAGCTTCTCGGAGCCTCGGTTTCCTCTTCCGTAAAACAGAGATGACAATGACAGCCAGCGCCCGCCCTGTGGGTTCATTGTGAGGATTGACAGGGTGGATTCGTGCTGTGAGCAGTGCCCGGCTTTAGGGAGGCGGCGCCCTGCACAGGTTAGCATTGTACCCGTGCAGGGAGCATGTTTGTGTGCAAACAGCTAAAAGCCCGCCCAGGCTTCAGGGCGAGGGTTTATTTATTTATTTTATTTTCCTATTGCAGTTTGCATTCGGTATTATTTTTTATTGGTTTCAGGTGGACAGCATAGTGGTTAGACAATCACATCTTTACAGAGCGCCCCCCCCACCATATATCCAGCACCCACCCGGCACATAGATAGTTATGACAACGCAATGGGTCGTATTCCCTATGCTGTCCTTTAGGACATCCTGGGACTGTTCTGGCGCTACCCATCTGCACTTCTCAATCTCTGAACCTTTTCCACCCAGTCCTCCAACACTCTCCCCTCTGACGACCTTCCGTCCGTTCTCTGTGGCCGAGTTTGTTTCTGTTTTGTTTGCTCCTTCACCGTGTTCCTTCGATCCCACGTGTGAGTGAAATCAGTGGCGTTTGTTTTCCCCTGACTGGCTGTTTCATGGCTCACACCCGCCAGGTGCATCCATGCTGTCACCCATGGGAAGGTTTCGCTCCTTTGTCCGGCTGAGTGACAGTCCGCTGTGTGTGTGTACCCACTGGCCCACTGGTGGGCACTGGGGTTGCGTCCACCTCTTGGCTGCTGTGAATAACGCACATGGTGATTATTTTGATGATGGAATTTTTTGTTAGAAATGGGGGTGATAAGAGCTCACGTTTCCCAGGGCCATATTCCGCGTCAGGTGTGTGCCAAACGCTTGGCTTGTATCAGCCCGGCCCTCCCGTCACCCGGTACGGCGGGCTGCTATCCCCGCACCACAGAGGAGGACGTGAGGCACAGGGCGGGTGAGTGACTCACTCCGGGGCAGTGATACTGATAAGAAGGAGCAACAGGATGGTCCTTAGCCCTTAGCTGGACCCCTGCCCGCACCCCAGCTCCCTCTCTGTGCTCAGCGGGAGGCGGGTGTGGAGGAGGAGCAGAGTCTGCTGTGAGGGTGTGAGGGCTGGTCCATCTCCAGTCAAGTCACCAGCTATCACAGAGACTGGAGTTACTGTAGGGCGGGGGTGGGGACATCCAGCCCTTGGGCTGAGTAAGGCCCGTAGAATCACTTGGTCTGCCCTTGCCGGGGCTTTAGTGGTGAGTTAATTTTTGACCAAATATAGCAGGCTAGTTTTTAAGTTGATCATTTTGGATGACTCTTGAGGAGTGATTTTATGAATATCCAAATGGCCCTTTGAGGAAAAAGGCTCCCCAGCCCTGCTCTAGGAATGGCTTTTGCGAGCTGGAGCGGACTTCCTTGGGCCAAGCTTCCTGCCAGTGTGAGGACCGGAGAGAGGTCTGGAGACCAGCCGGCGGGCAGCGCGGTGCTGGGGGATGAGTATGGCTCCAGGTTCAGCCAGGCCTGGCTTGGATTCTGCCTGAGCCATGCACGGTGTGGCCTGGGGTCTCAGTTTCCTCCCCTGTGAAGTGGGGGTACAGCCGCACCGCGCCCTCCAGTCACGGTGGAGATGGAATGAGACACACAGTGAGATGCTTGGCGCAGAGCTGGCGTGGAGGGCATTCCTGCAGCTGGATGTCTCTGTCAGGCACCTGCTGTAGCGGGTCATGGCCCTGGTGCCAAGTTAGGGCCACGCACACATCCCTGGAGAGCCACTATGGAACTGTGGGTCGGGGCTGCTAATTGGACCGTAATCTGGTCTCAGGGAACATTAATTTTAAGGAAGAAGAGTAGAAAAACATCCAAGTGTATCGCACAGTATGGCTAAGGGTTTTGTGTAACATTTTTGTTTCACGTTTCATGTGTAAGCATGCTGTGTGTGTGTGTGTGTGTGTAGGGGGGGTGAAATAAAAATATTTTCCTGTGAGTCACGATCAAAATATTTGGGGCCAGTGCCTTAGAGATTATCTCCCTCCTGGTCAGGACCCAGCGCCACGTGCCGTGGGCCAGGCTGGGGAGGCCGACTCAGTTCTGGGCAAGGTGTGTGTGTGGGTGGGCGGGCCCCGAGGGGTCAGCAGAGGCAGAGGGAGAGGTGGTTGGGGAGGGGGGTTTGGGGTGATGACATAATGCATTAGGTGGGGACAGTGACAGGAGACGTTGAAGGGTCGGCTTGGGTTGGGAGCTAGAGAGCCACCTGGGAGGCAGGGCTCCCTGTCAGCGGTGGGCGGTAGGGCCAGGCGTGGGCAGAGGGGTGGGCAGAGTCACCTCAGGGTACTGGGCAAGGGCTATGGCCACCTCCTCTGGTTGGGTGGAGTGGGGAGGAGGAGGACTCAGGGTTACTAAAATGCCCCCCGGCCCCCCATACTTGCAGGATTCTCAGTGACTGGGTGAGATCCTGAACCCCCTACATAACCATTTCCTCCCCTCGCCGGGGCCCCAGGAGTGTCTCGAACTGTCTCCTTCCCTCTGCTGCCCCACTGGCTCTGGTGGGGCTGGCCTGGAACCTGGCTCAGCCCTGAGCCTCCCGGAGACAGCAACCTTCCTGTTACTTAGATCCCCACCCGGGGCAAAGCCCGGTCTCTGTGTTTGTGTCTGCGGAGTGGGCTCTCTGACCCCCGAGCAGCCGGCCCCGTGGGTGGTGCTGCTCGTCTTGTGACCTCACAGGATGAGCTGGCGGAGGGAAGTGAGGGTGCCGCACGCAGGCAGGGCTGCTGTCCCTCCGAGGCGAGGAGGGATGGGGAAGGTCATGAGGACATCAGCTGTCTGGCTGGAGAGCCCCCTGCCTCCCACCCCGTGACGGGCCGTGGGGCAAGGGTGGGGAGAGGCCTGTGACCGAGGCTGAGCTGGGGATATCCCCGCTCCGTGGGGGAAGTGGCCCGCTAGGGGCCTTACAGGATGAGACCCACGTTTGGCCTAGGTGTGGGAAGCCCAGCTTCCTGCATCCCCTCCTACGTGGGGTGTCTTAGGAGCCCCAGCGTGGAGGTCCATGTTGCCATCTGGAGTAAGGTGACCAGACGTCCCGCTTTTTAACAATTTGTCCTGCGTCCCTCAGCATTTTAAAAAAGAATTTTTCCAAAAATCGGGACTTTTTTTTTTTTTTTTTTTTTTAAAACGCCCAGGCACTCGGGATAAATTGTTAAAAATCGGGACTGTCCCGCCAAAAGCGGGACGTCTGGTCACCGTAATCTGGAGGGGCAGTGCCCTGGGGCTGATTGGCAGGGGCCAATTTCTAGGAAGCCGTGGTGGTTCTGGCTTGAGGAGTCCAGAGCCCAGAGGCTCAGGTGTGAGTGTGGCGTTTACTGAAGGCCACACAACAGAGCACCTCTCGTGTGCCTGGCCCTGTGCCGAACTGTGTATTTGCAAATTTAATCTTCACCGTAACCTAATGCCCAGGCCTTTTTATGGTCCCGTTTTATAGATGAGGAAACTGAGGCAGGGATGGTTATGTCTCTCTCCATGGCCACCTAGCTAGTGAGGGGCAGAGCTGGGCCCAGGACACGGGGTCTGGGTTTGAGCTGCCAGGGTTGGAATCTGGGCTGTACCACGCCCTAGCCACGTGACCTTGGAAAAGGGACTGCGTCTTGCTGTTAGCTTGTTGTTCTGAGACACGGGGAGGACAGCGGTGCCTTCCTCAAAGGGCTGTGGGAGCACTGCACGGGGTGACGAAGGTAGAGTGCTCAGTGCATCCTCAGGGCGCAGTAAGTGCGACCCGCGTCACCCCTTTCCTACCTGCAGTCACCTGCTGGGTGACCCGGGGCCAGCTTTCTGTTCTCTGGGGGTCCCAGTCTCCACAGGTGCTGGCCCCCTCCCTGGCCTTCTCCATAGGATTGCTGCCGATCAGATGGGATTCAAACCCAGGGCGGGTCGCGAGGGAGGCCTTCCTCGTACAGAAGCGCCGGATTCCCGGGACCCCAGGGAACTGCCAGGCATTTTTTAGGGCTTGTAGCTTTCTGCAAGGCCCTGCCCCAAGCTTTCATGTTTCCTGTGGCCCCACAGGCGTTTCAGGTGGCGACCCCAGACTGACTTTGGGGTTTCCCCTGATGTGTTCTGGGGAAGGGTTTGGTGGGCAAGTAGGAATGGCAGAGTGTGAGTGAAAAAAACACAAAAAGGGCCCTGCCCAGTGTGGCACAGTTGGTTGGATGTTGTCCCATGCACCAACAGGTCCCAGGCTCAATTCCCGGTTAGGGACATGCCCAGGTTGCAGGCTCCCTCCCTGGTAGGGGGCTTGCAGGAGGCAGCCAATCGATGTTTAGTGATCCCCCCTCTCTCTCTCTACCTCTTGCTCTGTCTTAAAAAAAAAAAAAAAAAAAATCAAAAAAAGTCTTTCTTAAAAAACACCCAGAATACGTTTCTCTGCTGTAGGACTTGTCAGAGCCTTTTATTTTTATTTTTTATTTTTTCAAATATATTTTTTTATTGATTTTTTAGAGAGAGGAAGGGAGAGTTAGAAACATTGATGAGAGAGAAACATCCATCAGCTGCCTCTCGAACACCCCTTATTGGGGATGTGCCCACAACCAAGATACATGCCCTTGACCGGAGTTGAACCTGGGACCCTTGAGTCCGTAGGCCAATGCTCCATCCACTGAGTCAAACTAGCTAGGGCTTAAAAAAATACTTTTGTTGATTTCAGAGAGGAAGGAAGAGGGAGAGAGAGATAAAAACATCAATGAGAGAGAATCATTGATTGTTTGACTCCTGCATGCCCCCTACTGGGGATCCAGCCTGCAACCAGGGCATGTGCCCTGACCGGAAATTAAACATGACCTCCTGGTTCATAGGTCAACACTCAACCACTGAGCCACCCCAGCTGGACTCTTGTCAGAGCCTTTGTTACACTAATTACCCCCAATAGATGGTCATAACCTAACCCAGGACCTCTCAAAGGTCCTGGAGAAACAGGCCTAGGGAATGCTTTCCTAGATCTTTGGAACAGAGCTGGGACTGGACCCCACGGCTCTGTGAGTCCATGGCCAGGTCTGCTCAGGACATCCCTCCTGAGCCTCCTTCCTCTG